CTTCTTTCTTTTGTAAATTGCCCAGTCTCGGGTATCAGCAGTGTGAGAACAGACTAACACAGCAGTGAATGAGACTGTAATGGTAGATGCATAACCTTATGTATTTGTCCAAACCCACTGTAATCTAAACTACGGACTTCGGGTGATAATACGTCAATGTCGGTTCATCAGTTGTAAAAAATCTACTACTCTGGTGGGGGAGGTTGATAGGGAGGGAGGTTGTGCATGTCTGAGGGCAAAAGGTATCAGAAATCTCTATTTTCTGCTCAGTTTTACTGTGAACCTAAAATAGCTCTAAAAATATAAAGTTTATTATATAAAAATATATTTTTAAGTCCACGTTTCTGTGAAGACAGTTCTTTTTTTAAACTCAAACTCTGCATCAACTGCAGAATAGAGATTATAACTGGAATGTTTAATGTTAACCTAAAATCTATTTGAAAAAAATTTTAATTGCACACAACCTGTTGTAATTTTGTAGTTACTCACTTTCTTGCCAGTATTCTCAGTAATCTGTGATCATGATTAAACATTGGTTAATGTGATAAATTTAATGGTTATGACCTGGGTAAGCCACAGCATCCTCTCGTAAAATGAAGTCCAATCAGCTTTAAGGTCAAGGTAAAATAGGAATAGCTTAGGTTAAAAGAAGCAAGCTGGCCAGGCACAGTGGCTCATGCCTGTAATCCCAGCACTTTGGGAGGCCAAGGCAGGAGGATTGCCCAAGCCCAGGAGTTTGAGACCAGCCTGGGGAACATAGCAAGACCCTGTCTCTAAATATATAATATATATATATCATATATATAAAAAATACATATATATATAAAAAAGACAATTAGCTGGGCTTGGTGGTGTGCACCTGCAGTCTCAGCTACTCAGGAGGCTGAAGCAGGAGGATCGATCGCTTGAACCCAGGAGGTCAAGGTGCAGTGAGACGTGAATGTGCCACTGCACCCCAGCCTGTCTCAAAAATTACAAAACAAACACACTTTGCTGTATCTTCCAGTGTTCTGATTAGATTTAAATCATATCAGTCAGGCATATTGGCTCATGCCTATAATCCCAGGACTTTGGGAGGTGAGGTAGGCAGATCACTTGAGGTCAGGAGTTTAAGACCAGCCTGGTAAACATAATGAAACCCTGTCTCTACTAAAAATACAAAAATTAGCCGGGCATGGTGGTGAGCGCCTGTAGTCCCAGCTACTTGAGAAGCTGAGGCAGGCATATTGGCTCATGCCTATAATCCCAGCACTTTGGGAGGCCAAGGCGGGTGGATCACCTGAGGTCAGGAGTTCGAGACCAGCCTGGCCAACATGGTGAAACCCTATTGGACTGAAATATATTGACTATATTCCCAAATTCAAATATATTGAATTTCATCCTATTTTCCCTAAACCATTTGGTTTCACATTTCCCTAAACCATTTGGTCGGATTATATCTCCCTACAAACTGTCACCCTCCTTCTGCCAAGCAAATGAAATGATAACTGTTCTGCATTTTACTTGGATGTCATCTTAGTACCCTTACTGGTAAGTTGGTATCATCTTTCCTCTTACTTCTTGCATTAGGCTGTTCTTTGCATTGCTGTAAATACCTAAGGCTGGGTAATTTATAAAGAAAAGAGGTTGGCCGGGCGTGGTGGCTCACGCCTGTAATCCCAGCGCTTTTGGAAGCCGAGGCGGGCAGATCACGAGGTCAGGAGATTGAGACCATCCTGGCTAACATGGTGAAACCCCGTCTCTACTAAAAAATACAAAAAATTAGCCTGGCGTGATGGCGGGCACCTGTAGTCCCAGCTACTTGAGAGGCTGAGGCAGGAGAAAGGCAGGAGGCGGAGCTTGCAGCGAGCTGAATCGTGCCACTGCACTCCAGCCTGGGCGACAGAGCGAAGACTGCCTCAAAAAAAAAAAAAAAAAAAAAGTAAAAAAAGAAAAGAAAAGAGGTTTAATTGACTCACGGTTCTGCAGGCTGTACAGGAAGCATGGCATCTGCCTGGCTTCTGGGGAGGTCTCAAGGAGCTTTCACTCATGGCGGAAGGCAAAGTAGGAGCAGGCACATCAAACAGCAAGAGTGAGAGCAAGAAAGCAAGAGAAGATGCCGCACACTTAAACAACCCGATCTCGTGAGAACTCACTTACTATCTCAAGGACAGCTCCAAGGGGATGGCGCTAAACCATTCACGACCAGTCCACCCCATGATCCAATCACCTCTCATCAGGCCCCCTCTCCAACACTGGGGATCACATTCCAACATGACACTGAGCAGGGCAAATATTCAACCCTGTCACTTCTTTTCCAGCAGGCATCTCTCTGGGCTCTGACCCTCTCCTGTCAATCCCAGCTGGGAGTCCCCATTTTTACAGTCCCCTCTAAACAGGCTCTTTCCCCCAACCCTTGCTTCATGCTCAGCCTTTCCTAAATGCATTAAACACCTAGTCAGAGGAAAAACATTTTAACTTCAAATTAACATTTAAAATAAAAAACTAACTTTAAAGCACGTTTTTATGAAGGCAATATAGATTCTCTAAAGAAATTCAGGCCGGTTGTGGTGGCTCACGCCTGTAATCCCAGCACTTTGGGAGGCCGAGGCAAGCAGATCATTTGAGGTCAGGAGTTCAAGATCAGCCTGGCCAACATGGTGAAACCCTGACTCTATTAAAAAGACAAAAAATTAGCCGGGAGTGGTGGCAGGCGCCTGTAATTCCCGCTACTTGGGAGGTTAAGGCAGGAGAATCACTTGAATCCGGGAGGCGGAGGTTGCAGTGAGCCAAGATGAGCCATTGCACTCCAGACTGGGTAACAAGAGTGAGATTCCATCTCAAAATAAATAAATAAATAACAAAAATAAAGAAATTCAGAACTAAGTTCTAAGCTCTGGAAAAATAATACGTAACCCATAGTGCCATCCATAGACAACCACTTTGAGACTTTGCTGTATCTTCCAGTGTTCTGATTAGATTTAAATCATATCAGTCAGGCATATTGGCTCATGCCTATAATCCCAGGACTTTGGGAGGTGAGGTGGGCAGATCACTTGAGGTCAGGAGTTTAAGACCAGCCTGGTAAACATAATGAAACCCTGTCTCTACTAAAAATACACAAATTACCAGGGCATGGTGGTGGGTGCCTGTAATCCCAGCTGCCTGGGAGGGTGAGGCAGAAGAATCATTAGAACTCAGGAGGTGGAGGTTGTAGTGAGCTGAGATCATGCCATTGCACTTCAGCCTGGGTTACAAGAGTGAAACTCCATCTCAAAAAAAAAAAAAAAAATTTAAAAAAAAAAAAGATTCAAATCATATCTACCTGGCCGGGCACAGTGGCTCCCACATGAAATCCAGCACTTTGGGAGGTTGAGGCGGGCAGGTCACCTGAGATCAGGAGTTTGAGACCAGCCTGGCCAACATGGTGAAACTCTGTCTCTACTAAAAATACAAAAATTAGCTTGGCATGGTGGCGTGCATCTGTAATCCCAGCTACTTGGGAGGCTGAGACAGGAGAATCACTTGAACCCAGTTGGCAGAGGTTGCAGTGAGCCAAGATCACACCACTGTACTCCAGCCTGGGCAACAGAGCTGTACTCCATCTCAAAAAAAAAAAAAAAAAAAAAAATCCTATCTACCCTATATGCTCCACTCATCCACTTGTGGTGTCCTTTAAAAGGAACGTTTAGGCAGTGATAATCTTTCCTCACCTTCTTTTAAGCACACATACATCATTGATTACCATTTATATTCATCATTCAGAGACTAATTGTATTGGTTCACATCAAAGTACTCCTGGCTGAGGAGGTATTTTCTTCTTTTTACTCTTCTAATGCTAAATGGGCTTTCCCTGACATGGGCTGTCTGCAGCTGACCTTAGCAGCAGGCAGACACGACCCCTTTGCCGACCCTGCAGTTCATGCAGCTGTTCTCAGGGAAAGGTCACGAAATCCTCTCTGCCCTCGAGTGACCAGCCAGAAGATACTCTGAGCCTGTGGCATGTGTCAGTTTGGGGCACTGTACCACAAAGAGGGTGTGGGCAAATGGGAAGAAGCCAGGAACTGCAACATGGGAGAAAACAAATTAGGGCTGGAGAACTAGGTGGGGACACCTGTGGCTGGTCCCCATCAAACTGAACACCCAAAGCTGGAGATAAATACAAAGTGGGAGCTCATACTTTAACCAAAAATGCCTGCCTAGCGGGAGGCAGGGGCTTGGGTGTCAGGAGGTGTCAAAGATCAAAGACAGGCAAAGCGTTAAAGATCCAGGTCTTGCTGGGCATGGTGGTACTTCAGGAGGCTGAAGTGGGAGGATCGTTTGAGGACAGGAGTTCGAGACCAGCCTGGGCAACATGACAAGACCCCATTGCTACAAAAAAGAAAAAAAATTAACCAAACGTGATGGCACATGGCTGTAGTCCTAGCCACTCGGGAGGCTGCTCTGGGAGGATCACTTGAAGCCAGGAGGTTTATGCTGCCGCAAGCTATGATATTACACTGCACTCCAGCCTGGGGGACAGAGCAAGATACCATCTCTAAAACAACAACAACAACAACAACAACAACAACAAATCCTGGTCTTTAAAGCGAGAGAAGAGGCAAGAATCTAGGCAAGGAGAAGGGAACAGGTGCAAAGCTTATGCCAAAGGGTGACCAAGATAGAGGCTTCCTGTGGACCCATCTCCAGGGCAAGACATAGTCTGAGAACAAGCCTATTCCTTCTACCACACTGTGTGAAAATACACAGTTTTTACGTTGCAATTTTTCAAGTCAACATGACCCAGGCTAAACACAAGAATACTCAATGGAGTGTTTTGTGCGGATTCTTTTCCCTAAGAAGATTCCAGGCCTCCTTTGGGGCAGTGAATTAATCGCTGTCTCTCTCTTTTCTTAAATGTCCTTAAGCCCGGTTCCGTAACACATACTAGAGAGTCAGATACATTCGTGCATTGAGTGAATGAATTCTCAAGAGACCCTGATTAAAAGAGCAGTTGATTCATCTTAGAATCATTAACTTACCTTATGTCTTCCCGTGGCATATGACAAGTTAAATTGACCTGGACCACCCCTAAAGTGGACCCAAACAGTGACTGCCCTCCCACTCAGGCGAAGGTCACTCCGGCGCCTTGCCCCACTGGGCAGAAGGGCTTCACATTCACATTCGGGGCCTGGAAGTCCCCAGGGACCCTCTTCAAGGCTGAGGCTTTGAACTTCCACTTGCATTTTGGCAAAGGTAATTACCTTTTCCTGGATGCTGTCAAGGAGAGCGACACTTCACCACCAGTATCTAAGATCAAGTCGCATGGATCCCCAGGGTCAGTAGGAGGATTCAGACATGGGCTGGGTGCCTCTCTCCTGACCACTGGATTGGTATCACCACAAGTAAGGTCACAGCTAAGTAGAAAATGCCTGAGGCAAAGTGGGGGTGAAAGAGGGACCACCGGGCAGTGTGACAGGCAGCCCCTTCTGCCAGCTCATTATCCCCACCTGCTCCTGTCGTCGCATAGTAGAATCCTAATGCGAGTTTACGGAGAGTCAGCTGGAGCTTGTCCTCCATGTAATTCAGATCACGTTGCCTGCAGCTCTTAGGTACTCAAATAAACAGAAGGACTAATATTACTACTGAAAATGTAATTAAGGGCATTCATTGTAAAGTAATAATGATTACCTCACCCTCACCATATGGCCAGAACTGATTAACACCTAGAAGAAATGATCTAAAACCTCTACAGTCAGAATGAATGTCTCAGGTCATAATGAGAAACATTTTGTGTGTGGGGAGTTGGGGCTGAGGGAAGAAAAAGTGGTTGGGAGTTTACTAAACCAAGAGACACAAACAAAATAGGATAACATCCTGAAAAATCTCGTTCAGATTAGACAAGTTGTGTTTTTAGTGTAGAACCCATATCACAAATGCAAAAATATTATAAGATTTACAAAACATTGGAATTGTCACTTAATTGGATGATTTTTTTCTCCGTTGTTTCTTTTCTAATGATGAGGAATTGATGGAGGAGTCTCCATCGAGGCTGGCAGTTTCTTAAAACCACCAGGGAAGGGCTTAGCCCCCTGATTGAAAATCTTTGTATCGTAAATTACTGGTTAAAATGCTGTTTGTTGTCAGGGGTATCATGGAGTGTGATTTAATCTCTTTAGATTAAAGTGGTAGAAATGTTAGCATTTCTGGGTAGTACCAAACAGGTTAGCATTACAAACGATGCCTAGAAAGACACGGACCCATTTGGAAGACAGGGTTGCTGTAAAAGCCAGTTTGCAGGTGTACCGTGGGGGGTGACAGGATGCCCCGGGCTGTTCTCGATTAGTGTGTGTGCCCTAGGGCCATATGGTGAAGCATCAGGAAGCAGAATTTGGGATATTTTTCCACCAGAATCCTGAAGGTTACTCTGTGTACTGCTGGGGAAAGCTTAATGGGCTCAACACTACCCTTGAGGGAAGGCAACAGTGGAATCTCTTTTTTCTGCAAATACTTCCTTGGGTGGTGGATCATGATTCCCTGAGGCAGGATTTCCTGCGGCAGAGCTGGAGGGGCCGGAGGGGCTGGTGGGGCTTGCGGGCCTGCTGGGGTTGGAGGGGCTGGTGCGGCTGGACGAGCTGGTGGGGCTGGTGAGTCTAGAGGCGCTGGAGTTCCAAGAACTTGGCCTGGAATCTTGAACCTGCAGCCACACATTCGGACTCCAGCTTTGCCTTTTTACTTCTCTGTCTTTGACCACTAGAGAAATAAACAAACCTCATAACATTATTTCCTCGACTGCCTCTTAAAAGTCAAAATCTTAAGTTAGGGACACCTCACATTTTGGTCAAGACCAGTGGCCCTAGGTAAGAGTAAATCAGAGAATTCCCAAGGTGGAAGAAATTATTCCTAGACAATGAATCCCCTGGATTTGGGCTGAGGAGTGAGACAGCTGGTCACCCTGGGGGTGAACGGAGCCAAACGCATACGCCTCATTGTTGTTTTAATAACCCAAGTTGGATTCAGGGAGTACCTGTGCAGTTCTGTGATTAGCACATCTGCAGTGAGATTTCCCCATGCTGTAGCTGAGAGGCGGGCTGCTGAGGCGACCCCTTAGGGAGAAGTGGAAAACTCTGCCTCTAGAATGGAGATCTGGCTTTCCCTTCCACTGCTCGATCTGAGCTCCGGGATTCTGTGCCCCTCTCTCTCCGGACAGTTTTTCCACCAGATGATCTTCTAATTGCTGTGAACGCAGCCTAATCAGCAAGTCCCCAACTGGGGACATTATCAATTTCAAACCTTGGTCAGTCATGAAGCCCCACTGGAGGACTTCATCCTGAAATCCACGAACAAAGAAAGAGATCCCGCAACGCTGTCATCTAAAATGCCTTAAAATGCCAGCGCTGCGACAGATGGCCCTGCTCGGTGTAAGTGACAATGCCCCCAGCAGGCCATTGATTCTGTTTGTGAAATTTAAATATCTGAACAATGACTGATGGTGCTAGAGAGAGGTGTAACTTCAATCCCCCTGACTCCAACCCCCACCAGGTTTCAGCATATCTCAGTAGTCCTAGTAAAAATAGGTCAGTAAACAGCCTTATTTATGGCGAATGCTTGGGGTGCCTAGGTCATTGAGCCACGATCACTCATGGAACTGAGGTGTGGCTGGGGGTGGGGATTGGAAATAACTCTTTAAGCAGAAAACAGTGTGTTCCACGTGCACAGAATACAGAAGGAACTGAGTTGGCAGCAATCGAGACAGTTCATGGGAGGAACTCAGAGAGGAAAATCAATGCTTTCTCTCTGTGAGAAAGTTTTGAATGTTTTTCCCTTTAAGAAAAGTGAAAACTGTAGTTTAATTTTAAGGAATGTGATCATTATAAAAACCTGGACTCTTTCAAATTACCAAGTTTTGTTTATGAAAGCAAGAGTTTGAGATTTTCCTTTAAGATAGAATGGGGAAAACCAGGATTATATTAAGCCTTGTTTAGCAACAGTTCTTAACAATGTGTGTTTCTGCATGCTTTTCCCTTACTCTGAAATAGGTTTTACTTTGCTTAAATTAGTAATTAGTAAATATTAATGCTTTATTGGTTTAATAATGCATGTATTAAAAGCAGTTTATTTTCACAGAAAAAGCCCAATTCTTTGGTATTGTAAGACACAAAAGAGAAATGCCATAATTCCCATTGGGGACTGTGGATACTGGACCCCATAACCAGGTGCCAGAGTTCACGTGGTGTTCAAAATCCAAATCATAAGCATAGTGCCAAGGACTCTCAGGACGACTTCTGCAAAACGAAGCCTTCGGAAAAGGGATGGAACAAGAGAATGAGCGCCAGCATGGCTTGGATGGTTGGCGGTGCTTTGGGATGAAGAGCCTCTAACTGTGACACAGCTGGAGGCTTCCAACGTCAGCTCTAAGTACATGCACAAAGTCAGAGTCTCATAGCTGAGCTATTAAAAATAAAATCAACACCAAGATATACCTGAGAGTGACTCTTTTTATCACTTCCTTTTATCATCGATTACACATGCCTTTGATCTTTGTCTTGTGTGAAAGTCTACTATAAAAATGTTTATCGTCACTATGTCTATACTGATGAATTTAAAGGGTCTAGAAAATAATTTCAGAAACAAGGTTTTGGCAGCTCCCCAGGCATCAGCACCTGACTTGGAAACACCCATGTGCAAATGCAAAGCTCCAAAAGCGACTTTTGACCCTTTCCTTCTGTGTCGATTGTTGTATGGATGGCAGTGGCAAGGTGGAAAGGCACATGGGCTCTGCAACATTAGGGTTAAAACCCTCCGTGGGATTAGACTGCCCCAAGCAGCCCAGTGTCTATTCTGGGCTCTGGTCTGTAGGCCTCCTGGGGGCTGACAACAGCTGCCTTCAGGCTCTCAGGGTGGGGTCCTTCAAGGAGCAACTGAACAGCTGCTGCTCTCCATCTTTCTCTTGCCCATCCTGGGAGAGCTTCTTCCGCTCCCGCTGTCCCTTCCATTCTGGCTAAGAGACCATTCTCCTAACGGCGGGCTTCCTGCTTCCTCCTTCAGCATTGGATGCGTCTGTCTCTGCCAGAGCAGTAACAGCCCCTGCCTGGAACATTTGTATTGTAATTTAAAAAACTGATATCTACTGTTTCTTGAGCTCTCTGATGCTAAGTGCTTCAGATGAATTATCCCTCCAAACCACCTCACACTCACAATTCCAGACCCATAAGTTATGGGTTGATCCTACAGTTACTGGACAGGGGTCCAGATCCAGACCCCAAGAGAGGGCTCTTGGATCTCGTGCAAGAAAGAATTCAAGGCGAGTTCATAAAGTGAAAGCAAGTTTATTAAGTAAAGGAATAAAAGAATGGCTACTCCACAGACACAGCAGCCTCGAAGGCTGCTAGTTGCCCATCTTTGCGGTTATTTCTTGATTACATGCTAAACCAGGGGAGAATTATTCGTGCCTTCCCCTTTTAGATCATATAGGGTAACTTCCTGATGTTGCCATGGCATTTGTAAACTGTCATGGCACTGGTGGGAGTGTAGCAGTAAGGATGACCAGAGGTTACTCTTGTGACCATCTGGGTTTTGGCCAGCTTCTTTCCTGCAACCTGTTTTATCAGCAAGGTCCTTATGACCTGTATCTTGTGCCAACCTCCTATCTCATCCTGTAACATAGAATGTCTTAACTGTTTGGGAATGCAGCCCAGTGGGTCTCAGCCTCATTTTATCCAGCTCCTATTCAAGATGGAGTTGCTCTGGTTCAAACGCCTCTGACATTAGGGTGATATGGCTTCTTTTTCATGTAGCCCTTTACACGAGATATAGAGAAGTCTCCAGGACTATAGGAAAGATACACAAGCCCAACCTTCATCTGGAGAAAAGGAACTAGGTTTGGCCAGGCTAAACCCTACGTGGCCTGAAGTCTTGGTGTCCCATTCATGATGTTATTCCGGACTGAATGAGCCAGATGCTGGAAAGTCTGATACGTGCTGAACTACTGTGTTTTGATGTGAATGTCTTGTTGAAATCCTATGGCCAGAGGGCACTGTTGGCAGGAATTGGGAATTTTTCCCAGAGGGAGTGGATATTCCCACCATCAAAGATCTTGAGGAGATCAAATAATCCCAGGACAGGGAACGAGGCCTGGGGAAGTGGCCCTTGGCGTGGGAGAGGGCATGGAGAAACTGCCCTTTCTCCGGGCCTCGTGGGCGAGTAGGGACCCTGTTGAATGGTCCATGCCTTACAAATTCTGAAAGCAGTCCTATCTAGAATTCAATTTGAAAGAATTTCTGTATTGCAATTCTTTCCTATTATTCTCAAGAGTAGCGGACATTTGTTTTTGCCTTCCTGATGTTCAACTCACCCTTTTTTGGTAACAGCACCTTCGCTTTTCCTGGGGGAGACTGGATTCCCCACTCGTCCCATGGGTTTCAGACAGGGCTGGCCCCATCCCATGGCTTCGTGGGTGCACAAGTGATGCAGAGCTGACCAATGAGAGTACTGTGCACTGCTGGCCATGGTGATTGGTTCATGGCTGAGCATGTGACCCCAACTGGGCCAATCAGAGCCAGGCTTACGTCTTGCTAGGACTATCAGGGAGAGTCATCCTCTTACCTCTGGAAGGAATAAGCCTAGAGCTTCCGGGGGCAACCACTTGGAGGATAAAGTTCACAGAGCAAAACAGAGCCAAGAAAGAGCTTGAATCCTGAAGACATGCAGCCATGACTTCAGACTGAAGACCGGAGCCTCTGAATCCAGCCATGCCCAAACTAAGAACATGCCTGTACTTTTGCAGCTTTGTGAACCAAAGAACTCTCTCTTTTTGGCTGAAGTCAGTTTTGATTGGCGTTTCTGTCATTTTCTTCTAAAGATATCTTATTAAATGTATAAGCCATGTCTCATCTGTCACGGTGGGAGGTTCAGGAAGGGTCCTTGCCCATGCTTGACTAAAGCGCACTGTGTGAGAACAGCAGCAGCTTGAGAAGCTGATGCAGACCCTACAGGAAGTCATCTTCAGCGGGGAAGTGGACAGCGGCAGTCCGAGACCTCGTCCTACCAAAGGCTGCAAGCTTCCCCCGGACAGATGTGTGGAACATGTCATTGTACTTGTAGATCCTCAGAAATACCTGGGAAAGGCATCTAGTTAAGAGGCTCTGGATGTCATAATAATTTGGGCATTAAAAGCTAATGTTTATACCCATGTTCACATCAGCATTATCGACAATAACCAAAAGGTAGAAGCAATGCAAGTGTTCACACACAGATGAATAAATAGACAAAATGTGTTCTATCCATACAATGGGATATTGTGCAGCTTTAAAAATGAAGGAAATTCTACCACATGCTACGACATGGATGAATTTTTAGGACGTTATGCTAAATGAAATAAGCCAACCACAAAAAAACTCCACAAAATATTTCATGATTGTACTTACAAGAGGTATGTAGAGTAGTCAAATTCAGAAAGTAGAACAGTGGTTACCAGGGGCTGGTGGAAGGGGGAAATGAGGAATTCTTGTTTAATGGGTACAGAGTTTCAGTTTTGCAAG